AATGCTTCTAGTAAAACTAAACCCAATGCTTTTGAAAGCTGTAATTCAAAAATGAATTTGAAAATGGCATTGAATTAGGTGTGTATGAGAAATAACCAAGTGGAAAAAATTATAAGAAATTAGAAAAAGTCTATATGCACTGGCTACACAAGTAGCTTAAGTTTTTAAATCACCTTGAAGAAATTTAAAGTGAAACCTAGACTAGACACATGAGCATGGTTCCTAAAAGTCAGAACTTTAGGTTGGAAGCTCATCTCCAAAAGAAAGCCATAGCCCTCAGTGGTGAGGCTGATGAAAACCTACATAGCTGTTTAAGTCACAATCTTTCTGACATGCATGTATCATTTTATAAGATTTTCATCTTTAATAAGTTTTTCAGTGATCCTGATTTCCTGGTATAAGAGGGCTTATTAAACCATCTGCTTACATAAAAGGAAACTGGGTGGCCTTGCTTTTCCTGAACAAGCGATAATAGAACACAGCACATGTCCTGTTGCATTGAATGCATGGGTGCTGAGCCCTGATGTGCTGGCGCCGTGGAGACCAAAAATGAATATCAGGGACCTCTGTCCCCCAGGACTGTGAAGTCTAATGGGGCTCTCACAGGATAATGGATGATGAAAATATAAAGCAAAGTCAGGCAAAAGCATAACATCCCCCAGGCTGCTATAGGACTCAGAGGAGAAAGATATAACAGGGGTGGGGAATCTGAGAGGCTCCACGGAGTGGGCAGCTCACGGAGGAGATGGAGTGGGGCCCATCTGACTGTTGTTTCTTTCCTCTTCTTTCCCCTCTGTCCCTCTCTTCCTCCCAAGTTGAGGTAGCCCTGACTTCGGAGGCAGGCAGGAGAGATAAAATAGAAGCTTGAAAGACAACTGTAGGAGCGCCAACTGGTGAGGTCCCAGAGGAGGCAAATGAGAACAGGAGAAGGAAGGTAAGGGGAGAAGAGAAGCAGACTGATGGGAAAGGAGTAGGGGGAAATCAAGGCACAGAGACAAGGATATTTGGAGCTAAAAGATGAGCAGCTGAGGAAGGACACCAGGTTCCCTCTATCTTCTTAGGAATCAAGAAGTGGCCTATCTGCAGGAGTCAGGGTCAGGGCAGGGCAGGGGGCTTCAGACAAAGATTGGGAACTGCTGTCATAGATGTGGGGTACAATGGGAGGTCCAGGCCAGGCTGTTTGGTCTCCTGGCCAAGTTTTCGAAAACCATATCATAAAAATCTGAAAGTACCAGACAGTCACCTCATTATTGATCAGGAGGGAAACCAGAGACATTGGACATACTCATTGTCTGGGGTAGGGAAGGTAGGGACCCAGCTCTGACCAAGCTCAGAGCCAAGTTCTTTCCTAGATCCCTTTCCTCATACCTGCCATCCAAATAATGGATCTTTAGAATCATATCAGACAAGCAGCCCTCAGTGGCTCATGGCTTATTTGATTCATTCTATGACATATAATGAAGCTGGTTCATTGTCAAGAGAAAACTGAGATTAAGGAGACAGTCTGATCAGGCTTGTAAGCAGCTGTGTGCAGACACAGATGCAAACCAAGAGCTTGTACACTCATTTGTGTGTCCACACACAGCCAGCCCAGCCTGCACTGCCTCCCCTGGAGTCAATGAGGTGAATGAATAAACCAGAGACCTGGTCATTGTGGACTCTGGGCAATAGCTGCTTGCAAACTTCGATGACTCAGTGTGACGCTTTTAAAGACCATCTTTATCATCACTTCTGTTTCCTTGACATCACTGCTCTTGAGTATCACAGTACTATGGTATCTCACTTGAAATGTTTAATACACCCCCCATTACGAGGAGCAGCTCTCTTGTCATTGGGAGTCTCTTCTCCAGTGCTGGAGTTTCCAAGGCAGCTTTCAGTTCATTACAGATTTAGCAGGGGAAGGCATCTATGATGGGTAAAGAATCAGCCCTATTAATGTTTCAAAAACACTGGAAACTGCGGAGCTCTTTTAAGCTTAACCTAGTGCTATCTGCAAAAGGAGTGATAACATAAACAAAGAATGTTCTTTTCTGTCTTGACCAGAAACGTTTCACACATTCGTCTGTTCAGCCGTATGCATGTGTGTGTGTATAAAATGCGTGTATGGGTGTGCAACTCGGGTGCACATATACTCGGCATATTTAGTTTTTGCAGCAGAGACCTGTGAATCCATCATTTAAGCTTCCAACAGTTGGGGAACAGCAGCTAGCTCTGTTTCCTGCTTCCCTGAAGAGTGACTAATTAATAAACTTTCCCTTAATTGAGTTCCGGCTGCCAAGTCTGCAGGATTACTTGTATATAAGTAAGCAAAAGTTCCATTTTAAACAACACTCCACATTGTCTCATTATATTTGAAACATATAAATTCCCCAAAGTCAAACAGTCTGTGAGCTGGGAGGCTGTGCCTTTTCTGGCTTGGATCCCTCCCCTCGAGAAGCCAGGTGCTCCAGCAGGTTGGAAGGGTCCCCTGGATTCTCCTAGGGGTATTCTGAGTAGCCTAGACACTTACCTTTCTCTATTCTCATCTACTAAAACATTAGAGAGCACCTTTAAAAGAGGTTGTAGAATCCATTAGTGGTATCTACCTTTTCCTTTAACCTGAATTTATTATTTGAAAGCATTTCTCCTTCACAACTTAAAAATGGGAAGATGAGTTTAATGTTAAATATTTAATAAGTGCTCGAGCTTCATGAAGTAGGAGGTATATCGCTGGGTTTAGGAAACTTCCTCACTTAAACTTTTGTGGAAGCTGAATTTCAAGCTCTTGTGTTGAAGTACTTTGCTTCCTTCTCTTCATGATTTCTCTGCTTTCAGATTCCAAAGTAAAAGCAGAACCAAGAAATAAAAATGAAAATCTGAAAACAAGAGTTGTTCTCAGTTTGGTCTGCCACCTCTAAGAAGGAGGAGATTGTCCCACTCTGAGTTTTTCTGCTCAGTGCCATTTGGGAGCCATTTGGCTCAAGATTTGGGTCTTTTATGAGTTACCCTTTGCTGAAAGTAGGAGAATTCACTGCAGGCTATGATGATAATTATTACTGACAACTCCTTAAAAGAATAAAATAAACATTTTTCAGACTCTTACATTCACTCTGCTAAGACATTAACCAGAATTAAACAGTGGGGGCAGGATTTAGAGCCAGCTTCCAGATCCTCAGGAGAAATATGCATACAAATCTGCTGTGGACTTCCAAGGTCTGGATCTTCTTGTCCTTCTCCTAATCCCTTGTTTGCTTCTATAAAATGTTGTTGTAAATGAAAGTGCTCTACAGGGTGTGAACTCTTGTTTGAGAACTAATCTTCCTGGAAAGCTTCCCATGCCACATATTCTGCTTGTCCCCAGTCAAACCATCTCACCAACGTGGGCTCCCAAGAGACACCTGGTCTTCTGCTAAAGAGGGTGCATCTCCCCTGGGTGTCCAACAGATTACAAGTGGGGAGACATTGGTAGCGCAAAGCTGATTCTCAGCACTATAAAGGGCAGCCTTGGTGAGCAGCCCTCCAGCCCTGTGTGGAGATATTTTTATTCCTTCCTGGGGACGCAAGAAGGAGCAGTGTCTAAGGCCAGTCAAAAGTAAAGAAGCAGCACCACAGAAGATGAGTGAATGATTGACAGACACAGCCAACTCGATGACTCTCAAATTCATTGTGGTGAATGAAAAAAGCCAGGCACAAAAGGCCACATAATGGATCCCATGATTCCATTCATATGATATTCTGGATAAAGGCAAAATGGCAGAAAACAAGTCACTGGTCACCAGGGTTAGCGGTGAGAGAAGTGACTGACTACAAAGGGTGAGAGGGAACTTTGCCTTGTTCTGTATTCTGGCAGTAGTGGTGGTCACACAATTGTGTAGACTTGCCAAAACTCATAAATTATACCTCCATGAACCAGGGTTTAAAAATCAACTAAGGAGTAGGAACAACAGCAGGACATGGGTCAACAAGGTGCTGAGATGGTGGGCTTCCACTTGGGGGCAACAGAAGCCCTGAAGAGCTATCTCTACGAGTCCTGGCTTTCAAGTCTTCTGGACAACAAGAAGGCTTAGGGAGAAAGTAGGGGGCCTATTCACAGATCCCAGGTGGATGTCTTATTTCCAGGATGCATCTGGAATAAGTTAGTTGATTGCATTTGCCTTAGTTAATTGGATGTATAATTTCTAGGCCAAGGGTATTCTCCTAACTTACAGTTTTTCGTTTCCTTTTCTGGCACCCACTGTCCCTGGGAGGATCATTCAGGGGGCCAGCCGCCTGGGCTCTGAAAGCCTACAGAGGTGGATTTAAGAGACACGGAGAAAACCCTTCTTCGCCCCCCAGCCCAGCCCAACTTCGGCCCACAACTCACTGTAGAAAGCTGAGTGAGGACAGCAGAACATACTCCCCATGATCCCAGATCCCTAGCACCGCTCCATTAGTACTGGTACTGGAATTGGCTGGGTGTACTCACTACTGACAAACAAGGATGGAGAACTGTACCAAGGCCAGGGCCAGCTTTGACAAGACAGCCAAGGGGAGACTGATCCACAGCGCTGGGGCCGGGAGTGCAGCTTGCCCACAGTGTCACTTCTCTGACGGGAGCCACTTGGGGGAGGCAGTTGGCACCTGACTCCAAAGTCTGACTTACAAACTCGCAAACTGTGTTGAGGCCACAGAGTGGACTCAGGCTGATGATACATGGCATATTTCCAGGGTGTTGTGATGGCTGAATGTTGGTCTTTCTTGATGAGCACCTTCAGGGTTTGTGAACAGAAAGATATTCAGCAGTTGGTTCATTTTTGTAAGTCTATTCTTCCACATGCCCGAGGCAAGTGTGTTTGTAAATTATCCTTAGCAAAGCAAACCTTTTGCCCTTGGACAATTCAAAAGTGAACTTCAGCTCAGACTCTACAATTATCTAAAATTACAAAGCACTGAACTCCATGCTGATGAATTGTACTCTCTTGAGAAAAGGTCACAGCTACCCTAGGTGGGGGTGCATGCATGCGTGGGATGGACTGACTTACTTCCGCCTTTCCCAGTCTTCTCCATCCGGTACTGGTAGATGTGCAGTGTGAAGAGCATGTGGGAGTTGCGGTGGTCATCTTCGTCGCAGTCCTGCTGGTTGCTCCTACGAGAGGCAATGGCAGCGTCCAGGAAAAAGGCAGCCTTCTCTGCAGTGGGAGCCCGCAGCTCGCTCTGGTTCTGAAGCTGAAAGAGAAAGCCAGGAGCTGAGGCTGCAGGATGGGGTGGGGGGGCTTATCTGTCCCTCACGCCAGGGTGTTAAAAGCTTGATTCAGCTGGCTATTCATTTTGCACAGTAAAGCCCTGTGCCCCACTAGGGCCAGAAGTCCTTCTGGGACCAGGTCATATGGAACTCTCAGCTTAATTAGTTCATCTCTGAAAATTAATACTGAGCACACTTAATGGATGCAACCTGTTTGTACCTATTTTATGGTAGAATGTGTAAATAGCAGGTGTGAAAAGCAAATGGTTGTATTGAGTGATCAATGGGAGCAGATGGCCCATCCTTATCTCTGCAGAGGATGGAGAACCGACCTCTTGTGCGATCCGTTTAGCCCAGAAAACACCAGGGATGGGACTGTATCTCAACCTCAGAGTTTAGATTGTTTGAAGGAAAGTAGGTTGCAAAATGTGGTTTTAGACCCAGCAGCACTGGTGTCGCAAAGAAGTTTTTTTAAAAAGTTGGTTAGCTTTCACTTGACTCCTAATTCTTCAGTTATTTAATTTAAAGCTAATTTGAGACTACATTTACTAGCACAGTTATGAACAAAATCATCTTTTCCATGTAAAAGGCACACTGAAATATCCAAGATACTTGAAAATCTCATCTGTGTTTAAAAGATAGCTATTTTTGCCTTCAGTTCCAGGATTCCTATTCATGGCATACTCAATAATTTATTAGAGAAAGTACAGTGGGCTCCAAGTCTTAAGTCTTACGAGAATCCTTAGCAATTACAGTACGCCTGAATTGAAACAATCATATTACCAGAATTTGGCCGGCACTCCGGCTTGTGGGAGAAAAGAAACATGATTTGTTCAGAGAACTAATCTGCAGTATGCCTTAGGGTTGGTACAAATTCTAACAAATTTCTAGTCTGACTTTCTACCTATAGTTTTGAGCTATAAGAGCCAATATTTGGAGCCCAAGACCATCCAAATCCTCAAACTTCAAGGACAGATTGTGTTGTGTGCATGGTTTTGTATTTAGAATGTAAATCAAATAATTTTAAAATGTTTTTCAACAAGAAGAACTGAAACAATGAGGATGCTGATCTTTTCATCTTTTTCTCCATCTTCCGCTAGCCAGATCCTTCATCTAAGTGGAACTTTGTTCATGGACTCATCAGAGTTAACTCACATGTGAACGGTGGTGGGGCAGGGTACTACTTCCATGACAGGGGCTGTGTGGATGTCATCTGAGTACATTTTATGCTTTGGAACAGTGGTTCTCAAAGTGTGATCCGATCCCTGGACTAGCAGTGGCATCACATGAGAGCTTGTTAGAAATGCAAATTTGGGGGCTGTAACCAAGACCTACTGCTGAACCAGAAACCCCTGGGGAGGGGTGAGGCAGTGATCAGTGGCCGTTGTTTTAGCACATCCTCCAGATAACCCTGAAACAGGCTAAAGAGGATTTGAAAGGGAAATGGGAGCATAGGGTATTTTACCCAGAGGCTAGGCATGGTCAGATTGGGTGGGTCTATATGATAGTGACATCCTCACCTAACCAGATGACCCCAGTGGGGATGGGGCAGGGACTTATCAATCTGAACACCTAGCTCAAAAAAGGATGCCTCCAGTAAAACTAGAAAATAACACCTACTGCAGGCTGCTGGGAGGATTGCTTGTTTTGGCTGTCAACCAGGGGCCTGCCAAGTCAATCCGCATCTACTGTCAAAGAACAAGGGAAAGACTCTCACAACAGGCATGACAACCTGAAAAAGCAAACTGGAGCTTCTTTTGGCTTCCACAGCTCCAGTAATTATATCATGGTTCTAATTAGAAAGTGGTTATTAGTTTTTCCTACAGCACTGTTAATTCGGTTGTGAACCAGTGCCAGAAACACAGTTTACAGAGCCATAAACAGCCCAAGTAATGGCTGCAGTTATTTGTCCAGAGCAGTAAATATTTTGGTTTGTTGTTAAACAAAAGAAAGATTGTACCTTTTTGGGAGGAGGGGAGAAGGGGCATAAAAAAAAGTGAGTTCAGTTTCTTCTCAAATGCTATGACAATTGTGGTTCCTGCTCATTGTCAATTAGATTCCAGGTACAAATATTTAGGTTGGGCGAGCAGATGGCCCCACAGCTGCAGGGCATAAAGTTCCAGTCCACTTTAAAGTAAACACTATAAGCCTCCCAGTTTGCATGGTGAGTGACTCATGGGCTCTGCGGCCTCAGCCTCCAAGGTAGGGATGAGCCACCCCTGGGCAAGCCAAGCGTGCAGAAGAGTCACCTGTGTGCCACAGATGGGGTCTTCACAGAGGTACACGCCTGGGGACTGGCCATCCTGCAGGCTGCCCGTGGCCACCTCAGACAGCAGGTCCCGCAGGTTCTCTTCTTTCCCCCACACCTCCACGGCTGAGATCCGGACTGAGAAACGGGCCCCGGTCTTTTCTTTCCGTTCATTGATCAGTTTGAAGAGCCAAGAGATGGCGCAGGGAATGATGCCCAGGTTCTGCATGGAATCATCCTTCCCAATCATGGTATACGATTTTCCTGGACAACAAGGGAAGAGCAGAGAGAGGTTGGACGGTCCAGACATCATTTTATGCAGTCAGAAAAACAGATGCCAAAGATGCAGGAGAAAGGCATAGAGAAGTGGGCCAAAGGTAAGAAAAGGAGTGAAGAAAAGGAGAAAGAAAAACAAGAAGTGGTTGACAATGATAAAAAAATAAAACCTTTCCTAGTGCTAGCGATGAAATGGCTACAGCACAGAATGTGAGAGCCCAAACAAATGGCAAGATGAAATCCAGGCTACCCTGTGTCTACGGCTGTTTTACATAGAGTGGGAAGGCAGGGACTTTTCATCACAATTACTGTGCGTTTTACAGCCACCCCACATATTAAATCCACATACTCACACTTTATATCCTTTCTCAAGTTAAATGCTGTGTATATTTTTATAGCACAAGCAAATTCCATTAAAACTTGAATCACTGCTTTGATCTGAGATCAAGAAGAGAAGGCAAAGGTGGGGGAGAGGGAAGAGACAGAGAGCTGCAGTGGACGTTCTGTCCTGCCTGAGAGCTGGCCTCTGCATCCCCTGCAAGACCTTTGGTGCAGTCTCTACTGGGGGACACTTTTCCAAATTACAGTACTAGCTTATCAGGCACATAAAGAAAGCTGGAGAGCAGACAGACAGCCACAGGTCAGCAGAAGGGCGGTAGGAGGGTTTCCTTCAAACCCTTGCAGGGCATCTTGCTGCCTCCTTTCCCAGCTGCTTTGGCACAGGAGGATTTGTGACAGCGGTTGGATGGATGCCACTGGGAAGTAAGGACGGCTTCGTCTGCTTTCCCCAGGCAGGTCCTTGCGTGGTGCTGGGCTTAGTCTGGAGGTTGCTCCTCTTGCTTTTCCTTTGGCTTCATTGCCAACCCAGATCCTCTTGGGAGGGAGACAGGTGGCCCCATCTGCTTCCCAAACAGCCCCTGCTCAGGAAATGTACATTTTCCTGGTTGCTTTCTGTGCTCAAGCCTGACCTGGACCAAGTGACATTTCCCAGATCTGGAATTGGTTGTTCCTTACTTAGAACAACCTTGCTACTCCCTTATTCCTCTCTTGTACTTGAAGTCTGTCCTACATGGATGGGTGGCCACTTACAACAAGCAGCCTAGGGTGTTTATAATTGTGCAGTTCAGCATCTGAGAGAAACTTAGCCCTTCCTCTCATCTGGGGGCTCTGGGGCTGGTACAGAAGCATGATGGGGACATGGGGAAGCCAAAGAGCAGTATGAAGAAATACAGCTCTCACTAACCCAGCTTGGCATGGCCAAAACAGAACACACAGCCATCCGCTCCGTTGACCACAGACTGGATCACCTCTGCCACGGTCCCAGCGCACACTTCAGCCTGCCAGACACAAGAGGAGACGTGAGTGGTGAGTGGATCATTCAGCTGAGGCATCACTAACGATGCCCAAGTGAGCCTGCCTTGTAGTGGCTTAGGGTTCTCAGGTCCCCACATTCCCACATGGGTCAGCCGCTGCCCTGGAGCTCTGAACCCTCAGGGACCTTCTGCCCCTTGCAAGCCTTGCACACATTAACTGCGAGTGTCCCTTCTGCAAATCCATGGTGCCCTTAGCTGTATCCACAGACCAGGCAGACGCAGGCTATGGTGGGAGAATAGGGTGCTTTCACGGCCCTCATTCCCTTTCCTCCTCTGCTGTGCTGGGCTCTTGCATAAGGCATCGCTACTGTCTACTTGCACTCTGCTAATCAGAGCCTCCTTTCACACACACACACACACTCACACATGCACTCCCACTCACACAGGAGTCTATGAAACGGCCCAGACTTAGCAGAGGCATTAAAGGTGACATGCTACTTTAGGACAGAGACCTTGAGAAACGCCATAGCTCTAATATAAGCAGGAGCTTTGAGATGTCTGTCTGCTTTTTCTCCTGGTCTCTTCTTTTCCAATTCACACATTAGCCTTTTCTCTCCTTCTCCACACATTTACTCAGCATACACATTCTCAACCACCACTTGCCCGTATGTGCCCATTAAAGGGTGTTCTTTAGCCTGTGTGGGTCTCACCCCCAACCTGGTTATCGAACCCTAGACAGGAACCACAGGCTGTGGAGGACACTTTGTATTCCCCCCGTCACCCAGTAATATAGAGCTCTGCAAACAACAGGGATTCAGTGAATTTAGTGGAGCAGACTGGGAGATCTGGGAAATGTCTCCCTGGTTAGCATCTGAGACTTTCACAGCAGCAGGAGGACAAAATTATTCTGTGTCCTTTCACCCTCATTTCTGTCTCAGGGTGGAGCCCAGGGAAGCATTGAGAGCCATGCAGACACTGGGCCTCCGTGGCCCTCAGAGCAATGGGCCTCCCGGCGGGGATCCGGAATTGCCAGCCTTAGCCGTGAATGTAGTTATTCAGCTGTAGGTTTCCGCAGCACAATGAACCTAAGTATTTGGAAATCAATTTTCTCTCCCAAACTGAAATTAAAAAACCACACTCCCAACAATCATCCATTGTTCTGGGGTGGTCGTCTCAGCAGCTCTGCCAGGGGCTCCTTCTGGACCAATGTAGTGGCAGGACAAGGCTGCTCTGGGGACCACAGGATCTTTCACAACCCCCAGGACTGAGGCAAGGACAGCATGAAGCCCCAAAACAGTGGCTGAAGAATCTTGATGGAATTTTCCAGAGGCTCCTCTGCAAAGCAGGGATATGGAATGGGCCAATGAACCCATGAAATGGCTTCTTTGGACCGGAAGTCCACCTTGAGTCACACAGAGAGGAAAATATTAGAGTCTGATGTCACCAGGGAGAATGCTGGTTATGTATGGGCCACACTGCCATCACTGAGACACGTGCATACAGGTCAGAGGACAGGGGACATAGGAGTAGACTCTTGAGGAGTCCCTGCCTGTCTACCCATCAGGAAGAGTGATCAGTGTTCTGTTCATTGGTGTTTTCTGAGAGCTGGAAGGGCCCCTGGAAGCCACTTGCTGCCTCTCCCTGGGGTCCTGGAGAACCGAACAGTCTTCCTGGGCAGTGCAAGTCTTCCAGGAGCCCATGCTCACCCACAGGCTTGAGTACTCCCCACTACCCCTGCCTTAGGCAGACCCAGCAGCAGTTTGTCCCCAAAGTACACAGCTAGTCACTTCTGAGGCCACTTAAGGGCCGTAGGGTGGCTCAGAAGGGCAGGGAGTAGAAAGGACTGTTCTAATCATTGTGTAGCTTTGGGAAGCTGAACTGGGAGAAAGCACAGTTCGTCCCTGCCTGGGGACCATGGTGGCGGCTGCTGCTCCACAGATGAGGACCTGAGAGCGAGACCCACTCTGCTCAAAGGGTGGAGGCTCCAAGGGTCTCACCCCGTGGAGCTGAGTGGGCCATGCCCAGGAGCTTGATATTAATATCAGCACTGATGACATAATAATAAAATAACTAACATTTATTGAGTATTTGCTATGTTCCTGGCTCTGTGCTAGGAACCTCTTGTATGTCCACTCTGTGAGTCACAACAACCCAATGAGGTAACTTTTGGCCATGTCCTCATGGGACAGATGAGGACACTGAGGCCCAGAGAGGTTGAGTGACTTGCTCAAGGATACACTGCTAGAAAATAGTGCACAAAACACAGGAGGTCAAAGATACACTGTATTAAGGAGGATGCAGAAAGGTTACTGAGAGATCCAGGAAGGACTTCTGCTCAGAGAGGGACCATGAGCAAGTGACTTAACTCTTTGTGTCTCAGTTCCCCTCTCTGTCATATGACAAGAGAGAAGACTTCCTTCCCTATAGACTTTTAGAAACAGTCTCCTGGGTGAATTTTATGAAACTTCTTGAAAATTGCAAATTTATACAGAAGCGTAAGTTAGAATATTAGACAGGTGAGCAAATTAAAACATTTTGAAAGGAGTGAGACAGTAATGGTGAGCACACTGAGCTCAGGAACCAAGTGCAAAATGTAAACAAAGACTAGCAATAAAAATGGCTCCTTTTTCTAGAATAAATCTAAAGCTCATTAATAGTCCATGCTTAATTTAGGATTTGCTTTGGAGTTCTCACAACTTACCAAGATTTGCTTCTAAAGTTTTAACTGTGTTAATTAAATTCTTTGTAGGCTATTTATTAGACTCAATGTCAGGTTTACACTGCTGAGCCCATTGGGTAGTACAACACAAAAACTGAAATGAGCAGAGAAACCATAGAACCTATTCATAGAGTACTTTGTCTTCTTCTGGTTCAACTCTTGGGGAAACCACATGCTCAACTTCTTAATGAATGGAGCCTATAATATGCGCTATGGTATAATATGGGAACCCATGAGAACGAACATTATTAAGTTCTATAGTCAGATGCAACATGGAAGAAATTAACAGGCCACAAATGGTAACTACTGGCACTGCTGTTCTCAGGTTCAGCTATAGGATATTTATAACCACACATCCTAAGATGAGCTTTGTATAAATTGTGGGAGTACTAGACATTTATCAGAAAGGAACATATATGATACCACAAAGCAGGCAAAGCAGGACCCTGCACACCTAGACCCTGGGTTATCTATATCTATGTCTGTTTACTCTTGGTGCTAGGGATCAAACCCAGGGCCTTGTATATGATAAGTACATGCTCTGCCACTGAGCTACCCCCCCAGCCCTGCGTTATTCAGTAATTTCTGCAACTAATCAGTCCTCTACTTGTGCCACCTCCCCAACCCTTAGGCCCCTGAAGGAGCAGGCCTTATTTTGTGCCACAGTAGAGGACCTCAGTTGTTGAAGCTCTGGTATGCAATTTTTTTGGCTGCCTGTGGTCCAAAAATCTTGACACATGGACCTCCAAGTAATCCCCAAATTATATTGGTAGTAGATTAGCAAAAATGTCCCGTTTTCCACCCTGCTTTGTGTACATGTTTCTGGCAATGTGACTTTGCCGCTCATCCAATCAAAAGGACTCTCTTCCCTACTCCTCCAATCTGAGTGAATAGAATGCAGAAGTGATGCTGCACAAGTGGTGGGCCTAGGCCTCAAGGGATATGCATGCTTAAATCCTGGGCACTGCCATACAAGCAAGTCCAAGCCAGCCTGCAAGAGATACCAGTTGACCTTGCCAATGTCATTCAAGATCAGCTTAAAGCCAACCAAACTCCAAACATGTGACAGCATCCAGCTGAGATCCTCAGAGATGCCTAGGCAACCCACAGCTTATCACAGAGCCAAGCTAGAATGGCTTGGCTGACCCAAGAGCAATAATAAATGCCTACTGTTTTAAGCACTGAATTTGAAGGTGGTATATAAAGCAGCAACAGCTAACTGATACATATTTATATAACAGGTATATAAGATATATATCCAAGCCTCTTTTATTTCCCACTATCCCACTGATCCAGGCCACAGGTTGCATTCTAGCCTCAGTTTCCTTGTCTAGCACTCCGGTTCCTTACAAGGATTACAGACCTGCCCTCAGTCCCAGTGGATTTATACACAGCCCTAGGACACTGGCTGATTTTAATCCAGCTCCCTGAAACATTTTCACTTTCTAAAATGCCTACAACCAGAAGCGCAGGCAGGAGTAGAGTTCTAAGGGACCCATGACTAGCACCTTGATATAGCTGTGCCCATAACTTCTAATCCTGCCTGTTATCCTCTTGCTTCTGTGTGTCGCTCACTGACTGGCTTGTTCTTCCTTCTCCCCAGGCAGATATTTTATTGATATCCCAGCAGAATGAACTTGCCCAAGGTATGATCCCAGGAGCTCAGAAGGACTGGACTATTCAATGGAGCTCAAGATGAGGGTGGAAGGGTTCACCCACCACAGGGCTCCAAAAGACAACAGCTCACAGGTCCTAGAGAATAGGCAAACTCTCTTTTGTCAACACTGCCTGAGCTGGAGAGGGGGATTATACCCACCTGAGAAGCATCCTGTGGAAAAACTGCATCAAAGGCAAACATCTTAGGAGGAACCTGGTTACTTCTTTTCTGAAAGGCATTTTGACCTCCACAAGTCAGGGGGTCATACAAGGTGATCTGCTTCTTCCGTGGGTCCACCTTTAAGAAAGAGCTGGATTCTGAGGTATCACGAGCCAAAGTGGAACAAATTCGAAGCATGACTTTGACCTGGTAAGCAAAGATGGGAAACAAGATGGATTAGGATAGCTGGACACGTGATGATGGAGGACTCTCATATAGACAGGTGATATAAATATTCACAGCAGCATTGAACCTTCTTGTGATACATTATGATGAAAATCTCCATGAATTAGCAACCTAAATCATTGCTGGAGAAAGATGATTTATTCATAATTACCAGGTAGAATATTTTGATATGTCCATTACTTTAATACAGAGGTGGTACATCATGTTCTTTGTCTTTCTATTAATATAAATTAAAAATTAACTGTGCCCTGGTGGTCCAATTACATAGATGAAAAGCTAATCCGGACTGTCAAGCTATAGGGGCTGGCGCAGTCCCCTTGAAACTCACAGATCAATAAACCATGCACATAAAAGTTAGCTCCATAATTTACTCCCCTTCTCGGCTCATCAGGACTCTGGGAGACAAAAATCCACACTTATTAGTGTCATCATTAAAGGCCTGTGAAATGGCCTGTTTTTAATGGGCAGCATTTGAAATGCATTCCAAGGGGCAACAGTGATAAAAGATTGGCTTGCAACATGTTATTTGGGATGCCATTAAGTGGGCCCAGAGAAGTTGTCATTTCAGGGAATGAAAGCGCATCTCTGTGGGAAACAGAAGGCAGTGCCCTTTAACCCACCTTCTGAGCCACTGAACGAGAACATCTCCGGCACTTGTGACCGGCTCAGCCCAGCCCCATGGCTAAGCCTGGTGCTCAAGGAAATACCCAGCCTGCCTCAGAGTCCTACAGCGAGCAGAAATCAAGGTGAAGCCACACGTAGGTCTGGAGGCTCCAGTCCTGAGAAGTGGATAACATTTGTTCTCCTACCAGCTCTTTGTCACCAGGTCAGTCCAACAAGGGATGGGGGACTTCCTTGAGTGCCTACTATGAGGCAGCTCTGTGCTAGGCCCGAGTGGTGCAAAGACACATAATGCATAGGGTAGCGGGTCGTGCAGATGCAGAAACATAATTTCAGGAATAATTAGACAAATTGTGAAGGTATCCAGAAGGATTATTCTTAAAAGCTTGACCTCTCTGCCTAATCAGTTGTCAGGCTTGATGAAATCTCCATCATGCAAATTTTGGGAAAGGGGTTGTTATGAATTTTTAAATGAAATATCTCAAACATACAGTGACGTTCAGAGAATACTATACACTGTGCATGATGAAGTGAGATCGTCCTCTTGCGGACCTCAGCTCTGTCTGCCAAGCCACAGTGACTCATTTGCAGTGCACAAGGCTGAAACATAAAGAATCTGTGGTCATCAGGCTCACTGGAGATGCAGCAGTGTGGCCGGCTGTGCCTGTGCATATAAGGTGATTCCTCCAGTGTGGACCTGGAGGTCAGGTGTCACAGCAGAAGGTGCCCAAGGCAGGAGGAGGCTGGCTTCTCCGAGTGCAAATACTGGTACTCCCACTGTGAGGTCATGGACTGATTCCTGCCTTGTTCTGAGGGTCCATTGTGTGCCAGAACTGTGCTATTATCTACATTATTTCATTTTATCCTCCCATTAATCCAGTGTGTAGGCACACTTGTCCAGGTTTTACAGAGCAGGAAACAGATGTTACACAACTTGTCCTGGATCAGTGAACTGGTAGGTGGTAAGGGTGGGCTCTGATCCACCTCCAAACCCCACACTTTTCCCATTATCCCAACTGCTGCTTCACACAGTTAACAGTTAAACTTCTTGCAACTTCAGTTTTCCCATCTGTACAACAGGAATAACAATGACTGTCTTAGGGGACTGTTGGGAGAATTCAGAAAATCAGCATATGAGGATATGAGGTGCTGAATGCAGTACAGCACACAGTGGGTGCTCAATTCTTGTTTTGCTTCCTTCCCTTTACTTCTCTTCCCTTTACTTCTAGCCCTCTAGCCACTGATACCTTATCATTTTCCAACAGTGGTGTTCATGATAAGGTTTCAGAACTCCCTCCTCCTAGTAAAATGTGGAATCTCACAGCCACTGTACACTGCATAATACATTTACCTTCATTTCTTGTTCAATGTGACTCTGTCGTCTGTTTTCAGTTGCATTCTTTTCTATAGATTTGCCCCAGTTACCCAGGAGGTGGGATATGAGCAGGTATTCACACTGCCACTTTGGGGAGGTGGCTGGGGCCTCTAGCCTCTGTCTAAGTGACTCTCCTTGCCCCAACCAGGGCACGGCACAGGTCAAGAATGAAGCGACACCAGGCAGAACTGATGGAACCGCATGGCCCACTGCCTTTCTCTTTCACAATTTCGCATGCCATTCCTGGGTGACTTGAGGTGCTGAATGTAAAACATGAGCTGAGCCAGGAAGAGAAGCAGGAAGAGGTGAAATTAGTGAGCCATTAGCGGGAGTGGACCGCTCCTGCATCTTAATGAAGCACCAGACCTGAGGTTGGTTTTCTGCAGATTGGCCAAGGAGATGCTCAGTTCTTCTAAGATTCATTGAACTTGGAGCTGGGGGAAATGCCACACTCCACTCTTTTCTTCGCAATTCACTTAAATAAATGGAGGTATTTTCCCTCCTTCAAGGAAGGAAATTGGGTTTTTCTGCTTCACCTCCTTTGTGTCATTATTCCTTTAGTCCAGCACTCCACTTCCTGCTTAATCCTCGGTAATTAAAGAGCTTAGGAGATACCACTTATGATCAAGGAAGTCCCTCAGACTTCTTGCCAGGAGTTACAAACACTGTTTTTTGTTACAAACACTGTTAGGTTCTTGGCAACAGCTACTTCAACCCTGCCCCTCCCTGCTGCTCTGCTTAAAGGGTCTGGGCAGTCGTTAACATGTTAACATGGCACAGTCTTCTTAGCTCTCTGGGTCCGGTCTGGGAGAGTCACTATGTCAAAGCCAAGGGTAGACCTGGGGGAATGGGAGGCAGGAAGCTAAGGAACCGTCCACGTGGGGGCGCTGACTCCCTGATTCACACCAGCAGACACTGGCACTTCTGCATTAAAGTCCCTGCTGGTAGGGACCCCATTTTGCCTCATTTGTCTAATTACGCAGTGGCTGGTGCGAGACAGCTGTTGCTCTGGGCAGCAGTTGTCTTTATGTCCTGCTCATTAATCATTTCAGCTCCACCTTCTGGATGGCATCGTGAGAGGGAGGGAGAAAGGGACTGTGAGACACTAAGCCAGGCAAAGCCTCGCTCCTCAATGGCACAAAGACTCCATCGATACGGAGACAGTTGCTGGCTGCCACCCAGCTTTATTGGAGGCTAATGAGAAGTGGGCCCATAATCACTCAGTGCTGCTGCTACTCATGATGGAGGCAGGCAGACCTTCCTGTCTGTCCCCAGCCATGTAGCATCCCACACGGTACACACCTAGCAAGGCTCTTCCCTGCCTGTTTCTCTACCCAGAAGCTGTTGAGTCGAAGGCTTTTGTTCAACTATAAGATTCAGGAGGGCTTCAGGCAATTTGCCCATTTGAAGGATCCACACCAATCAAAGGCCACACAGGATGACAAGGTCCTGGAGAAAGGGAGGGCCGGGTCAATCACTCTCATGTGGATCTCTGTTGAGTCCCCTGGTGACACCCACAGTCAGGTCCTCTGTCTGTGTCTTGGCCACAGTCAAGGCTCAATAATAGTTTGCTTTTTCTTCCACAAGGTTACAGGCCACAGAGTTAAATTAACCACTAGCATCTTTTACTTCCTTTACATTTTTAAATTTTAACTTCCTTTATTCTGATTTTTAAGAATCAGTTCAGTAGAAACTTGTCAAGATGCAGATGGATCAGCGTAGCCAGAAATACCCCTTGGGATCATTTTTGTCTCCATCTCAGCAGTATTGGAATTTTCTTTCCTGAAGTCTTCCACATCTGTTCTGAAGTTCCTATAGCACGCCTGGAAACTGTTCTCTAAGGTAAATCAGAGGGGATAGGATAGGTTGGTGAAAACCCTCCTAAGAATGTAAGAATGGTGGTGAGGGGGCAAAGCAAGACTGTCAGATGGGATTCTAAAAGCAAAGGGGCCTTGGGACAGGAGAGACAGCATAGATGGACTGAAGAGCCAGCTAGCAACTAACTCCAGCCCAGGATCCTGGTTCTCTCCCAGAGAGACAAGTGGTCAGGGGGCGGGGGGGGGGGATGCTGGAATTCCCATGGTGGACACAGGCTGCAGAAATCCTGACCCTGCTGTGTCTCTGCCTCACACGGGAGCAAGCCAGTGTGGAAGAAAGAGTGAGTTGGAGGTGCCAGGCTCCACCTGAGGAGAGGAGGTGGAGGGTGAAAAGCAGGGCCACACTGTCCTTGGGACAGATCAGGGAGCCTTTCCCATATTTTTTGGATGGGATCTCCCCCTTTACAGCTGCAGGTGTGATGGCTACCATAGTGGACCAGGAGCCAGCCCTAGAATCTCACCCAGGTGTCGCTACCACTGCATCACTGTGTGGGCCTCTAAGCGTGGGCCTTGGCATCATGATCCCTAAGATGGACCTGCTGTTCCATCTCCCTTGAGGGAGAGATGTGAAGACACAAGATAAAAGTAGGCCGTGTAGCAGCCTACAGGCACAAAGCAGTACAGTCAGCCTCCGTATCCACAGGTTCTGCATCCACAAATTCAACCAAGTGTGGATTGAAAATGTTTGGGGAAAAAATTGTCTATACTTAAAATATACTGATTTTTTTCTTATCATTATTCCCTAAACAATACAGTATAATAATTATTTACATAGCCTTTTCATTGTATTAAGTATTATAATTCATTGAGAGATTATTTCAAAGTGTACAGGAGGGTGTGCATGGGTTATATGCAAATGCTGCACCATTTTATATAAGGGACTTGACTGGCTGTGGATTTTTGCATTTGTGGGAGGTCCTAGAACTAATCAATTGATAACAAGGGATAATTATATTACTCTAAGGAAGAGAGGAAGAAAGGTGAGATGGAGAGGGGCCGGGAGGGACTACTATCTTCAAGTCAGCTGGCACGATGGACTTCTGCATCAAACCAACAGCAGCAGAAACCTTCTCCAAGATTTAATATTA